TGCTCCAGAACCTAACAAGGAAAACAAAAACAAAACATATTACTTAAAAATAAAAATGAAAATAAAATTCTATTAAAATTTGAGTTATGACAATGATGATAAGAGAAAAGAACCAAGAGCTTATCGCTCTAATACCATATTAGAAATAGGAAAAGAGAAGAAATATTTGAAAAAAAGTTTATTATTTTCTTGAATAATACTATATGCACAATGGTCTAGATATAAGTGTTTATAAAGAGAATATTCTAAGATAAAAAGCATACAAAAAAAATATTTTAAAGTATAAAATATTTACAATAATTATGAATATAATCTGAATAATTTTATTCACATCTTAATAGTACTAAAACGAGCAATTCTAATCTAGTACCATATAGAAGAAAATAAAGTAGCTTTGTGAACAATGTTGTGCATAGTCGTAGGGTGCTCCCTCAAGTTGAATGTTCAGGAAAGCTGAATTTTTCTAATCTAGCTTAGCACAATAGACTTTGTAAACAATCTGCTTTTCCTGAGTCCATTCACATCAATGTAAGCATGCTTCATTTCGCAGTAAAATTGGAATTTTTGCTTTTTCAATTCGTTTACTTCTTCTAGAATTGAGTCATAGCCCCCAGGAACACACCGTAGAACAGTCAAGGAGAAAATTCTATTCCTAAATATCTCTAAATTTCCAGGAAACTAAGGTGAACGTGAACTCAGGCATTTATTTCTAGGATTATGACCTTGCTGCATATTCGTTTACAGTAACTAGCTATCACCTGCTTGGACTAAGCTATCTTGGAATTTAGCAAATGTTCTTTTCTTTTTTACAATAACAACAAAATTCATAAATTATTTAAAGCTAAGCAAGTAACAATCACAAACAAGAAAAGATTAATAATCCAACATTTGTACCATTTGTATGTGATTATATGCAGGTGGCTGAGGCTAATTGAAAGCAACTGCAGGTAGAAATGTATGAAAATCTTCGTCCACTTTTGAAACTTTGAGCAAAATAGGTTGGTTTGTCAAATGAAAGAATTGAAAATTCTAGAATTGTAAAGCCATCATTTTCTTTTGATCTAATGCAAGAATATTAATGCAGTTGATGAAAGCATGAAAATGTATATTTAAGGTGTGCTTAACCATTGACATTTGTGGAATTATGAATTTAAGAGTTATATTTTTCTACAAGTAATTTCATAATTGTTCATTCTATTTATGTTATGTAAATTTTTAGTGATTAAAGATTTGATAACTGAATGGAGAGAATCAGAAGACAAAGACTCAAATATAAAGAGCCAAAAAGATGAAGGTCCAAGGATCAAATTTAGAAGTTTGAAGGCTCAAGTGAGATTTTCTCCATTCTTGATCAAGGAGCAAATTACAAAGATCAGAAATATGATGATCAACTTGTGCGGAATCCAGGAGTCAGGGGCCAGGACTGTTAGTCTGCCATTAACCAAAAATGCACAAAAGGCCAAAAACCCGACACGGAGTCTTCGGTGAGCGTTTCACTGAAGGTGCCGGCACTTTGTTGAGGGTGTCGACCTTGCGCGATTTTTCAGCCAAATCATATCTGTCCTAATTATTTTGATGTGGGTCCCACAGCATTATAATTAGGATTTTTAAGATCCTATAGATACCCCTCCAAATTATTCTGGAGAGGAGTTCTGAGAGCTGGAGACTGCTACTAGGTTTCTATTATTTTTTTTTTCAAAACTTGTCAAAGGGCAACTAAATTTTCAGTAAAATTGAGAAAAATCTTGATTAAGGAATTTGATTTGTTATTTTATTTTAATTCCTTCATAGATTTTATTGATTAATTTTATTTTGAGAGATTATTACTTATTTTTCAAATTATATTTATCAAATTTCATATAAAATTAGTCATGCTCTTTTTATATCTAATTTGTTAGAATATAATTGATTGGTAGATTTGTTTTGCGGGTTGATATTTTACTACAGTATTGTAGATTAGATATATTATCGCTCTTGGATAGCTCGTAATTATAAATCAGTTTGTTCTTCATTGAAATTAATTTCTCTCAAAATAAATATATTAGTTATTATTATTAGTCTTCAAAGTTAAATCTTCTGATTGTTTGTTTGAGATGTGAAACATGTAATTGAGTAATAAATATGCCTGAAATCTTGTTCATCATGATATTGTTTTCAATCCTTTATAATTATCATTTTTTATTTAAATATTTTTATTTTTAATTTTAAAAATCATCTTTTAATTTAATTTTTTATTGTAACAGCTTTTTTTATTGGTTTAATTTAACTTTATTGTGAATTCGACACCTAAAATTACGTTACAACAACTGCTTAGTTGAAGTATTTTAATTTTGGGGCGAGACATTAGCGGGAATAAATTAAAGTCTAAGCAAGCAAATTAATTTTATATCTACTTAATTGTACGTTGAATGGATTCTATAGGTCAGTTAGTTGATATAACCTGCAATTTACTTGGCAGAAGCTGTTAAATAACGAGTCACATTGTGTACAATACAATGAGAAAGTGAAAACTTAGGAAGTCACATATAACAAAACATGTGAATTGAAAAAAACAAGTTCAAACGAAGAGAAGTCATTTTAAGGCTTTGCGAAGTACAGAAAAGCAAAGAATACACACATATCTGAATTTTCAGGAACAGAAGCTTCCCCATCCTCCTGCCAATGGCTGTTGATTGTCGATCACTTTGCCTCTTGGCAGCTTTCTATGCAGCTGTGATATCTATGGTCTTGTCTCAAGATCAGAACGAATTCATCTTCAATGGATTCAGTGAAAGCAGCAATCTGCATCTTGATGGACTTGCAAAAATCCACCCAGCTGGACTCTTGCAGCTCACTAACACCTCAAGGACAGAAAAGGGTCATACTTTCTACAGATTCCCATTAAAGTTCAATAGATCTTCAAATTCAGCTCCATCTTATTCATTCTCAACATGTTTTGTGTTTGCCATGGTTCCACAATTACCTGATCACGGTGGCCATGGGATTGCCTTTGTCATCTCACCATCTATGGACTTCAGCCAGGCGCTTGGAAACGATTATCTTGGACTTTTCAACAATTCAAACAATGGCAATTCAACAAATCATGTATTAGCGGTTGAGTTTGATACGATTCGTAGCCCGGTATTTGACGATGTAGATGACAATCATGTGGGGATTGATGTGAATGGCCTGAAATCAAATGTATCAGCTCCAGCAACATATTTTGCCAAGGAAGAAGGAAGGAACAAAACCTTGAAGCTCATAAGTGGAGATACCATGCAGGTTTGGATAGACTACGATGAAGAAGAAGGGTTGCTGAATGTAACTCTAGCACCAATCACAAGCCTAAAGCCAGATTGGCCCCTCCTGTCAATTTCCATTGATCTGTCAGAAATTTTCTTGGATGAAATGTATGTTGGTTTCTCAGCAGCTACTGGTAGTTCAGCTGCCAGTGACCACTATATTCTTGGATGGAGTTTTTCGAAGAATGGAAAAGCACAAAGCCTCGAAATTTCAGAGCTTCCACAGCTCCCAAAGCATGATGGAGAAAGTAAGAGGCCAGAAGGATTGGTTGTTATTTTGCTAGTAGCAGTTGTTGTGCTTGTAACAATCTCTGGAGCTGCTTATCTTTTTTGGAGAAGGAAATATGGAGAAGTACATGAAGAATGGGAGAGGGAATATGGACCTCAAAGGTTCTCATACAAGATTCTCTACCAAGCAACGAGGGGGTTCAAAGAGAAACAACTTCTGGGATCTGGAGGATTTGGAAAGGTATATAGAGGAACACTTCCTTCTTCCACTGCACAGATTGCTGTAAAAAGAATCTCCCATGATTCAAAACAAGGGATGAACCAATTTGTAGCAGAGATTGTAAGCATGGGAAGACTAAGGCACAGGAATTTGGTGCAGCTTCTCGGATATTGCAGGCGAAAAGGAGAACTTATCCTGGTATATGATTACATGCCTAATGGAAGTCTTGACACGTTCTTGTTCAGCAATGGAAGACCACTCCTTACTTGGTCTCAAAGGTATCGAATCCTCAGAGATGTTGCGTCTGCCTTGCTTTACCTTCATGAAGAATGGGAGCAGGTTGTTCTACACAGAGATGTTAAAGCTAGCAATGTTCTGTTGGATTCAAATCTAAATGGAAGGTTAGGAGATTTTGGCCTAGCTAGACTGCATGATCATGGTGCAAAGCCAGAGACTACTAACCTGGTGGGAACTATAGGATATCTTGCTCCGGAGCTTACCAGAACCGGGGTGGCAAGTACTAGCACTGATGTGTTTGCTTTCGGGGCATTTCTGCTTGAAGTAGCCTGTGGAAGGAGGCCTATGGAGCAATGGAGACAACCTGAAGAAGTATTCTTGGTTGAGTGGATCACAAAATGCTGGAAAAGAGGAGCTATTTTTTATGCTTGTGATCCAAGATTGGAAGGGAATTTTCCAGTGGAGGAAATGGAGTTGGTTCTGAAACTGGGATTGCTATGTTCACAGTCACAGCCATTAGCCAGGCCTAGCATGAGGCAAGTGCTCCAGTACCTTAATGGGAATACCAGTTTGCTGGATTTTTCACCAGAGAACATTGAAAATGGTATGGCCACATCAAACAATGAAGCATTTTCTGATTTCTTAACGTCATTTCCTTCTAATTCCCATTCCAGCACTGACTCAATCCTCAACAAAGGGCGTTGAATCCTTGAACTTCAGAGGTTGAATGGAATTTCAGTTTTTCAGCATTATAAGGATGTTTTTGGCAGTTTCAACTTCTTGTAGTTAGTAATAAAATTGTTAGTAATAAAATTGTTAGCAATAAAATTATTATTATTATTTTTGAAATGCCCACATTTACAGACATGAACTTCTTATGCCTCCCGGCTTCCTGGTAACAGAATAGATTAGAGCATAGTGACAATTGGATGTTCACAATTGAACATAATAATGTCTATCAACACAGTAAATTGCTTATCTTTATAACCTTAAAGGCCATTATCCAACACTTAATTTACATTTTCTAAGGAATTTTCATCTAAAAAGTGTCATAACAAATACCAGAATATGGGGTTTACAATACATAACCTCCCAATGCTATTCACCTAGATACGAATAATTCATGGAGAAATAATTTTGATGTACATTGAAGCTCATATGACAGTTTCAGAAATTCTGTGCTTTCAATTCAGGATTTTGGATTCGATCTCTTCCAAACTCAGTCCTTTAGTCTCTGGGACATATAATGCTATGAACAAGAGTGATGACAAAGCAATAGCACCAATAAGAAGAAAAAGGTTGTCTGCTCCAATTAGCTCCTGCAGAATCAGAAGATA